TTTTCTGTCAGTTTCTTACAAAGCCAAGAATCAGATTCCAATAAAGAATTTCTTTAGCACCTAAACTTCTTGGTCACGTGAAATGCTGATGGTGGGGGATCAGGGGAAAAGTCTCAGAAAGCTCCTAACTTTACACCTGTGGCTGTAGTTGGCCTTAAGTGAACAGCTCAATTAATTATTAAGCAGTTTGCTTAGGGATTTAGCAGGGGAACAAGAGGACAAAATAATGAGCTTCTACTATACCTGCCACCTCAAAAGAAGGCAGAGTCACTTGTGCAACTTTTCTTAAGAGCAGATTAAGATTTGTAGCCTTATCTGTGGATGTGCTTTAAACTAACATTTAAACCAATCAGGCTGAAATTTACTACCACTTGTGAGTAATGTTTGAATTAGGCAATTTCTAGAGCCAAAAAAATTTAGAAAGAACTTAGAGAATTACAGATGCTGTGCTAATTCTACGCTAACCTGTCCCTAAACTTAAAAGGCAAAAGAAGCAAAAAGAAGTCAGGAGTTAACTGAAAACCATTCCTTACACTAAAACTCACCCAAGCTCCAATACATTATGCTTTTTCTCATTCACAAGAACACTTAAAATGTTCAGACAAGTTGGTACTAAGTAATATCCATTAAAATATTTAAAGTGTTAAGTAAGTGCATCTGTCCCATTTGTAATCAGGACTGAAGTGGCAGTTTCTGAAGTCAGAATCTACAGCCACAGCAGGTTTGAGAGAGACCTTGTTAGGGGCAATAAACCCTGGAGGAGTTATGACTGTAGGGGCTCTCTTGTGTCATAAAAGTAGAAATAGCATTAATATGCTCACAAGTCATGTAGTATTAAGGTACTCGAAGGACACATTTTTATTCCATACAACTGTAAACCAAATTCAAAATATTATAATCCTAACACATAATATATACAGCTAACTATACTTTCTAAAATAAAACATGGGATTACATTTTTTGTTTCAAATACATTTATACCTATCAGCCTTTTTAAGGAATTGTTGCCAAATCCAGATTAAACTCTTAGCAATTCCCTTCAGTTAATGCAAAATCAAAATGAGGCACTGCTTCCACAGCTACATGCAATACTCACTGTTCAGAGCTGCACCACATAAAAAGATTTAAGTACATGCTAGTGAACATAACTTTGAAATTTCCTTTATTGGCTTCTTTAGGTGCTTCCCTAAGATTTAAAGAGACAAAAAAAGTCTTACTTTTAGTAATTAATTATTAGAGCTTTTTGATCCAAACAAACTACACAGTGACATGCAAGCTTCTGATAACCCGCATGTTGCACTAATTTTACATTAAGAATCACAGTTACCATATTAACAGACTTCAAACTGCAATAACCTGAATTTTTGGCTTAGCTTTTCTCCGATTTTCTTCCCTCCCATTTAGACAGGAAGAAAAACTGTAGAAAGTATTCTGTAGAGGAACTCACTGATATTTTGTATTAAAATCCTGCTTCTAACAAGACAATGATAGTTACTATATGTATTTTAACTGAAGGGCAACTAAGACTACTGTAAAATCAAGCCCCTATGATGGAATCTTTGTCTACAGCAACACTGACTTCATAGTCAGGTAACTTCTAAGATAAAAGAGGAGTCACATTTTTGCTGTGTAGCCCAACACCTGTAACTAAACAAGCATCAAGACAAAGATTCATGACGTGAAACAGCTGAGGTTAAAAGTTCCTTCAGCTATTTATCCCCCTAGCATAACTAATACAAGTAAAGCTTCCAATACAGAAGGGATATTCTCCAAAAGTAAACCAGAAGGAAACCCCACATGTATTATCATTACCTAAAAGAAAAAAAAAAAAAACACCACAAAACCAGAAAAACAACTCAGTATTGATGTAGAGGGTGGGCTGAACTAACTAAAATAATTCATACTACCCCAGTGTACAGCATGGGTAGAAAGCACAATGGCGTCAGATGATTTCTAACTTTGCAACAGCCTGTAGCAAAGGGAGACCAGAATTCTGCCTGTTGTGGGTGAAGTTTCTTCTTCTACTCTCAGCAGGTCCAGGGCTAGATCTGACCTACGGGCAAAACTGAACAGTTATTTCTGAACACATTTATGCCTTGAATATTCTATTAATACAAGGCCAAAAAAATAATCTGTCTAAATTAAAGATTTTTTTTCATGGTAAATGGTATTAACAGAATGATTTCTTCTTTAAGAGAAAAAGTACTAGTTTTCAGGTATACCGACTACAACATATAACATCAATTCATTAAAAGGCTTCAGTAATTTGACAGTTGATTTAGCACGAACGCTGACATGTCTTAACAAAGTGCCTAACTAGCAAGAACATGTTTCACCACCAGGGAAGTCAAAGCTCTGAATAATTGCAAAAAGATAAACTTAAGATTGATGCTTCAAGCATTCTGAGGTTTGGAAATCCATACTCAAAGCTGCCCACATACTCTTAGTATCTAAATCTAGTATTTTTCAGTTAAGCCTTAAGTTATACAATTAAGCTCCATCACAAGAGACCCATCTCATTTTGTAAGAAAACCAAAGTGTACTTCCCTGAATGTTTAAGCATGCAAAACTTCATGTTCAGCTTCAAGATCTATTTGACTCATACCATCCAAGAAGGTATGATGAATAAGCTTCACAGAGGTAGAAAAAAAAACCTGAAACAGGGAAAATCCAGGTTCAGTGCCAGGTTCCTGAGAACACTGCATTTAAAACATTGTAGGAAATCAGTCAGCAGGGTTTGGTGCAGAGAAATGTGTTTTTCCTTTCCAAAACTCCTACTGAGAGAGGGGCAAGGTGCAGGGGATTAAAAAAAAAAAAAACCAACACCAAAAACAACCCACCCCCACCCCCAAAATCTTGTCTTTGTCCATATACTGATTCACAACTCCTTTCGTCTACAACTCTTCCTTCTACTCTTCCTTTGCATCCAGATTTTTTCTTTTTCTCTCTACTGCTTGGGAACTACTAAAGATGTCATTTCAGTACAAAAAGAAAGGGCGTCTTTGTTTTCATTACTGGTGTCCTAGAAGCAGTAGCATCCCCAGCAGGTCAGTGCCAAATGTCATCTGTTCTCAAGGGATCACCTTATCTACTGCATGATCAATGAAAATAAAACATTCAGCTATTTTTTTCTCTTAACAGTCTTCTCTTCAGCTTCCCCTTTAACCCTGTGTGTGTTCATGTGTGGGGTGGCAGGGGGAGTGGGAGTGGGGCATGGCAAAGAGAAGACAGTACCTCAACTGAATTGGACATAAGTAGGCTTTCATGGTACGAAACAGCACCTGCAACAACTGGCGATTTCACAATGTTTAAAAGTCCTTGTTCCAGACTTGAAGGCACTAAAAGTTACCCAATAAGACAAATAAGTATTTACCAGTACAAAAGTCAAACATTTCAGGCTTCTGGTAACAAGGTAGTAAATTTAAATCTTTAATCATAATTTAAAATTAAGTCCAAGGAACCTTTACTGTAAATTTCACTTGAAGAAAATTAGTAATTTTATCATGTCCTAATAGTCAATACACCTGTTTATAAATAACTGTTAGATCATTTACTTACTCAAATTCTTAAGACAGAGAAATAAAAATGAAGAAATAATTCAATTTAACACTAGACTCATTGCCTACATATATTTGACCTGCTAATTTTGATAGCTGAACGCTTTCAAACGCTTTTTCTTTCTTCCCCTTCCCCCAGGCTGATAATCCTTATGCGATTAAATTTAAAACAAAACAAAACAAAACAAAACACTTCTACAAAATCTAGGGAGAATAGGAGTTTATTGAGTTCTACCTGTCTGAAAAGTGCTGGTGAAGTGTTGCCATTTCATGCTTTGTCTATATAGATAAGTCGAAAGAGAAATTGTTGCAAAAATCAGCTCATTTGAAAACCGAACGTTTCTCCAGAACTTCTTACCATTCCTAAGAGAACACAAATGTGAAAATTTTTTTACACGAAGATAGTCCTTTTCATTTTCATATGCAACATCTACACTTTAAGTTCCCTCACGACTATTAAAATACTTTCAGGCAGTATTAATATACAGAGAAGCAATTAGTCATACGTTCAAGAACCCAGGTATCCCAGCTCTAAAAGTGCATGATTTAAAACATTAGTAATGGAATATTTTGAAAGGACATTCTTATTCAGTATTAATGCATGCTATTATTACAAAAGTACCCATTGCATATTGTAGGAACAACAATTTTTCTTTTGTCAACAACAAAAAAGCATGCTGAATGGTATCAGATCAGTATAAATCTATTTTTAATGAGGTTCAAGACACTGTTCAAGACCCATTAAGAGCAGCCTCCTCCAACTGTGCACCAGTGTAAGCTTGCACAGATGTTACAAAAGTTTTGCACTAATGTGGCTTAGACTGGCCTCAAACATTTTTAAAGCAGGGCATTAAAACTGAATCTTGAATTTTAGTAATCATTCATTTAATTTGTTTAAAATAAATATTAAAAGACCACTATAAGAATTAGGCATAAAAGCATGTTAAGTAACAAAGTTAGGCCTAAGTAGCAAAACATACAGGTATTTACACAAAAGCTGATTTGCTGTGGTTGTCAATGTTGAGAAGACATCAGAATGTGGACCATGTGCTCAAAAAAACAAGACGAAAACAAACAAAAACCCTGGGGAAGAGTAATATAAATCCCACGTCAGCACAACTGCAGAAGTTATACCCCAATATAAATGGGTCAACTTGGTTTAATGTGAGGAGCAGTCGCAAATAAACTAGCCTATTTGTAGTCATTTTAGCAACTGGACTAATTAAAATATTTAAGTTAAACTGCAAGTAATCCACTCCAAGTCAACAGGGTATTTCTATAAAGCAGCTGATGACGCCAATTTTCTAAATGGATGATGAGGAAATGCACAGAAAATCCAAGATAAAAGAGCAGACGAAGACGTGAAGCATGTGAAAATGATGCAACGAAACAATATATAAATTAAACAGGAATGTTTAATCAAGACAATCCTTTTCTTTTTTTTTAAACAGAGGTTCTTCAGGAAATTTTTTAAGTGGAAAATGAAAGCCTATTCCCACAATAGTGAGGCCATTTCTTTTAAGCAGCTCTGTTGTACAACTGTTACTGGGACCCTAAACAATTTAAATTGTTGCATATTGGTATTTCTGAACTATAAAGTTTTAAAATATTGTATAGAGTTTATTTGTGCTCCACATATCGCAAGCAATTAACAACACGAAGAAAGATTCAATTCCTCAGCTAGAATACCAAACTCTATACCAAGTATTACATGTACACAATACTTGCACAGTGACAAGCACAGGAAAGTACTAGTTGAGCACTCACTTTCAGAACTCCATACCAACTCTTAAAATCCACTTCAATTCTCCCATGCCACCTAGTCTGCAATTTAAGGCATCTCCACACAGCCATCCACCCACCCACCCACTCCCATACACACAATTTACGTTGGAGGTGTTTACTCTTACAAAAAAAATCACTATGTCAATCAGGTACCATTTATTATTTATCCCTATAACTGTGTCAGCATTGAGATATGACAGTTAAACCAGTGTTAAATCAATACAATATTTACATAGCACAGCACATTAAGCTTGAGACACTCATTTGGGGGATTAAAACCACATTTTAGAACAGGACAAAGGTCACCATTATTATGTGTTTGAAAACAGCTATTTACAGGTCCCTATGGTATAACTATAGTCTGTACACTGTTCCAATGGGGCAGGCAGAAGCAGGACAGGCATTTATTTTGAGGGATCTTAAACATACAATTTGGAAGCATATTGTTATGCTACCCTGAATGCCATAAACCACCTTAACATTCTCCAAGGTGGTCTCATATCCTAGAATGGCATGTCCAGCTGATACAAAACAGACAACACAATGTTTACTTTATGGAGAATTTTTACTCCAGCTATTCAGTCATCTGAACTTTGAAGGCAATTCGTCCCAGAAACTTGTCACGTTCATCTTCATTTTTTAAATTAGGTGAGCCCAGGATCTTACACTCAATTGCTATTTCTTCTTTGGTACTGTTGGAGTTAATTGCTAGTTGAACAGCCACTAGAGGCTGCAAATAGTGAGCCTAGTAAACAGAAAGATGGGGAAAATATTTGAGATACCAGAGTAAATCAGCATTAAAATTAACATTTAATCCATTAGAACAGTTAAGAAAAAAGCTAAGTAAGAACCCAACTTTTCAAAGCCCAATCTGACACAGGTAAGGCTTTTTTTTCCAAGTTAGATAGTCAGGTATACATTCTTCATACTATTTCTTAACCAATACATTCAACATCATTTGAATAACAGACAGTATCTTGAAATGATAGTTTTCCTCCTATCCATTCCATTGGCTCTTCTGTTTGTTTTGGATTTCGTGTTTGTGGGTTTTTTTGAATCTGCTGTAGAACGTAACTTTTCTAGCATGGTTTTAAGTGTTTTTTGCCAAAAGTATGATTCAACAAATACTAGTAAACTAGCTTCCCTTCTACCCTATCCCATTTACTTGTTGAGCAACAATCCATTCTAAAATGTATTATCTGTTTGACAGCTTTACACAGAAACCTTTCCTTGAACATTCTGACAGTATCCTGGTCAATCATATTTGGTGGAACAATTACAATTCTTGACTCCATTCTCTATAACAAAAATTAAAATTAAAGAACAAAGCCAGAATTAATTTTTTTTTTTGTCAACCCAATATTATTTCTCAAGTCCAATTCAATTAAGACAAATTGAATTCTCTTGTAAAGTGCTTATGAATTAAAGAAGAGCTTATTTATTATACACTGTTAAAGCAGCATTTCATCCAATATTCATAAAGTATTTCCCTAATTTGTTTATATTTTAGGTCAATACTGCTGAGTGCTGATTAAGCAAAATTATTTTTTTTCTTGGTAAAAATTCATATAAGCCAGTGGACTAAATATGACACTACAGTATTATACAAGTATAAGCCTTAAATTTTAATAGAACAAAATTTTGCATTAGATTTTTTTTCCCTCATTAACTTAAGAGACTCCTTAACACATTTCTGTTATTTTTAGGCTATCTTCTCTACTGCTATACCAAAAAAAAGCACTAGAGAATACTCAAAGTCTCATTTACAAAGAATGATGGCATAGAAGCTGATATGCTAAAACCTTTAATGTGAAGTGGATTGAAATAACTGCTTTCCTTGGATGGTGATTTTATTAGATCAGAAATTTTCCTGTGCTCCTACAAACTTCAAACTGGGAGAGGGAAATGCAGCTCGGCAAGGCACCCTCAAAATTCTCCGATTGTAAGCATGATGCCACACTTGAGGTACCGAAGTTTTCTAAAAAATCAGAAATAAAATTCCTGTGTTTCTTCAGAGGGGTCTTCTCATTGCCGAGATTCTTCAAATAGGTACATAAATTTCCATTATGTTTTGGAGACAGATGATACCAGAACAGACTTTTATTCAATATAAAATTTTGGACGAAGAGGGAAGAGAATCAGCATCCTCATTTAGCACTACAGATCATCTAAAAAAGGTAACATTCCCTAAGGTCAGGGAGTTGGGCTCATTGTGCTGAGCAGCAAAAGGAAAATAAAAAAAAAGCATTCTGGACCACGAAACTGTAGATATTAGTACTTTTATGGCCTCTGCCTTAGCACAAAAGCAGGAACATTAGTTGAATCCTCTTAACTCCTTTACAGAATAAAGTAATTCAACAATTCCACACTGGTATAATATAAAAATTCTGTTGTATAGCCAAGAAATCAATCCAGTCTTTTGAGACTTAGTCAAATACTTCAATCTCTCACAAGTATTCTTACTGCCTCTTCTTTTTCACAATATACTAGTATTATGAGAATTGAGCCCCACATAAGCAAGAATCCCTCAAACCATAGCCCCTATCCCAAATGATAAAGTCAACATGAAAGGACATTGAAACAAAAACTAAAAATTAAAATTAATTTAAAAAAAGGTAACGCTTTTTCTTAATCATCTAAGTCAAGCAATTCAGTTTTGCCTGACTTCATTACTCTCTCTCATAATCTTTCCTCTTCCATCAGTATAGCAGCAAGACAGGAGTTTTGTCAGAAAAGTTCTTCATCCCATCTTTGGTAAAAACTACCTCCTGACATCTCAAGGTCTACTGACGCTGGAGTTTGTGTTTCTTAGGGAAGCCATGCTCTCTAAAAACGTACTGACTCTGCCTGTTGGAAGCACAGGTTGTCAGTCTTTCTCTAATCTTATATGTCTAAGGAAATGCATGGTTTACCAATTCAAAAAGTCTGGCAACAAAATGGAAAACAGAACTACCCCTAAGTAAAAGGAAAGCAAATGTTGAAGAAAAACAAACTCCTTACTCATTAATAAAAGCCATGCAAGGATAAAAAAGGGTTATGTGAATTGCTGTGAATAAGTATAGAGCACAATGGCAAAATAACTCATAAAGGAATAATATAGTATAAAATCACTCTGGGGAAATTTTAAACATAAATCTATTCGATCCATGGTATACCACAGTGGTTGTTTGTAAAGTACTTTTATCTTCAGTGGTGAAGAGTGAAGATGTCTATTAGACCAAAGAACTTGGTCAATAAGAGGCAATATAATTTTATATTTGATAAAAGGTACAGATTTTCTGTATGTAGTTATCACAAGCTGATGGAAGGAAAGAAAAAAAATAACTAAATTCATGTTTGAAAAGAAATTGGAGTTTTAACTGCACATATTCTGTGTCCATAAAGTAGTCAGCTTTGGGGTTTTTTAAAACATAAGTGTTCTTCAATTAGATAAATAGAATTTATGTCAGAACACAGTAAGGATAGATGGAGCAAGTAAAGAAAAACAAAGAGAAGAAAATTTACAAACAAACAAACATACATCTATCTGCTACCTTGAAGTGCGTCTTCATAAAACAGACCAAATAGAAAACATGACCACAGATCCACAAACAAATATAATCAACAATACCATAATGAATTATAAACTTAATATCCTATACATAAACCCCAAGGATTATTTGAAACCATATTGTAATCTGAAGAACCAGTTTACTTTTCCTGCCTTTCCCTGCATTCAAAAAGATTCCAAGAGACATCAGTGACCAAAAAGCAGCAGATGCCCTTAATACTGCTAGTATACAGCCTCTTCTTCATTAGGACAATGCCCAGTTTATTTCCTTAGGTCTGCTAAAGCATATCTCTAATCTCATCAAGCACTGTGAAACTTCTGCACATGCAATATTTCTTATGAGTACCTCATTACAAAGTTCAAACTTCACAATCAATCTGGTACTAGTAATTGTAAATGTAAACAGAAACAAAACATTTACAAAATGAAGACCATCATTAAGGCTTACTTACGTGCAAGCTTTTCCCATAGTATGGAAAGTACATTAAGTCAATCAAGCCATCAGGAGGAAAATAATTTATCTCAACCATGCCTTCTTCCTGTGATTGGAGATAGCAACAAAATTAAAAGTTAACATCTGCTTGCATAAAAATGAATACAAAATTAGAATTATAACCCAATAATAAAGAGCAAGATCCCTAAAAAAGGGAGCTACAAACTCTCAGAATAACTTCCAAACCAGAAGTATTTTTGACAAACAAGTTACATGCTGCACACATCTGCTACAGTAAGGATTATTAACAGTAGTATTTAAATTAGTAATCAAGTCAAGACAGCTTGCTTTCATGTTTCCCTTATCAGTCAAAGAAAAGGGGAGAGGGGAAGAGGATATTCATGGCAATGAATAATTTAACAACAACTAAAAAAACCCCATATATAAGAAAAAATCCCAAGTATCCAAAAGCACACCTGTATATTTTGATGAAGCAAGAGCACATCCATCTTTAAGTTACAGTTAAAGATGAATTTCTGTTTAAAGCCAGGTTTTTAAGTCTCTCAAATTTGGAACGCTACAACCCTTCACAAAGAACTATAGCCCCTTCCCTGCAATAGTGTACTATTTGTAACACTTGTTCAACTAGCCTTGGAATACAAGCTACTTAAAAGGAAATCCAAGTTTAAAATGGTGGTATTACTAGTGTTTCCATGTGTCATCCCCACCTTAGAGGAACAATATACATAAGCATGTCTTATCGCTAGACTTTCCCCTATAATCCCAAATCTTGTAGTAAGAAGCAGCTACCTACAAAGTTGCTGCCTAATTTCTGACTAAGGAGTCGCCCAATCTGTAAGGTACGCAAAATATGTATATATGATTGAGCTCTCCCAGACACAGGCTATCAGTACAGCGATACACAGACACATCTCCCTGTATTCCTCAGGACTGTGTACCCTGGCAGGATGTCAGACTACCACCAAGTTCAAACCACTAGGAAATGCCCACATCTAATGTGACTTTCTACCATAAGCTAAACATTATTACCATGATAAAGGGAAATGTCACTAAAACTCCTCCCCCAGAATGCTAAATGTACCTTCAGAACATCACTGCTTGTTCAGTGTAATTCACAAGTTCAAAGTGCAACTGTCATTGTTTTTTCTACCCTGCCATATATGACAGCTGCAATTTTAAAAAGATACACCACAAAGTTCAGAAGACAACTGCAGTTAATAGAACTAAGCAAAAGAGGAACACAAAGATCAAAAAATAGTAAAGAATAAACCACAGCTCAAGAATACCTTCTCTTCACCTCCTCAAAAGAGCATACAATATGTTGTTTAGGATATGGCCACATTCTTGTTCCTTTGCAGCCTGAATTATTGCAATTCTTCAGTATATGTTTATTAAGTATTTTGGACCTTGAGCTAGCAAATATAATAACTAAGTAGAAATGTGTTGCTTTTCACCATTATTCTTTATTTTATTTAAAGCTCATGCAGCTGAAAATACTTATTTTTCCAATACATTTCTGAAATAATGGTTGAAAAAATCAGCACACAGAGTAACGTAAGAAAGATAAATAGGAGCAGAGCTTTCTGGAGTAGCTAAACACAAGGCATGCATGCAGTCATAAATACATACACATTAGGCTATCAATGCAATAGCAGAGAGGTTCTGCGACATGCAACTGTCTTCATGCAACTGCTGTGGGGTTTGGAGTTTTCTTAAATAATTAATTAATCCTAATGAATATCCCTACACCATTTAAAAAAAAAAAAAACTCCAATACCTAAACAAGCTGCATTTGCCGAAGAGCTTCAAGAATCAGTCCATTAGTGAGCATCACTTTTTGTGCTTACCATTTACAATTTTCACAAAGATTGGCAGGCAGACAGCAAATCTAAAAATCAGACCACTTAGCTGGACAGATAGACTTCCACCTCACTTACTGGGTCTTTATTAAGACTGTGTCTTAGAAAGAATAATTTTGCAGGTGTTAAAATAATGTACAAAGACCCAAGGAAACAACTTGGGCAGGACTGGTCTGTAATCATTTGAGAAGAAGAAATGCTATCATTGCACAAGATAAAGAGCAGTATCCATTAGCAGAAACTGTAAAACACCTGAGATTTCAGTCACAAAAAGCACGGTAACTCAGATGCTGAGTATGTTGACAATAGCAAGGCATGTAGTGTCATTCATACAGCCATTCTTCATTCTTGTAAACCAGAAAGCGATACCTAATACAAAGTCAAGACAGTCACTAAACAGCAGAAATATATACATTTTGAAATTAAGGCTATTTTTTCCTTTCTGTAGTGAAAAAAAAAAAAAAAGCCATGCATCAAATCTACCAGTTTTCAGTAAAGGTAGTTTTAACTTGAAAGAATACGGCTGCAAGATGTTCCAGTGCACATGAAACTGCACACCTCCAGCCCCAAACTAAAGACCTAAAATGCTAATCTTCAAACTTCTTGGAAACACAATCCTTTTTTGGCTTCTTTCTCTCTGTGGAGAACCTCAAGACTACAGCAGCTCAGTTCCTCCAGGGTGCAGCAGTAAGAACCTGCTGTAATTAGTGTCTGACGCTGCAAACACTCACTTTCCTAATCTACAGAAATTACAGTGATGACAGTTACCACTATGTGGGGGCAGAGGGGGAAGCATCCCCGACTATCAAGTATGCTGACTTTGAAACCACAGATTGATCCAAAATTTTTCTATTTTAAAAAATCCCATAGGAAAAGTGCAGGGAGAAGAAAGAATTGCCTCACAGGAGAATGCCTGAAGAACACAAATTTCAAAGTGAAAAACTTAAATGACGTTTCAGGTGACAAGGATGGACAGGATGCACAGACAGAAGCTCTTAACCTTATTTTGTATTTGACAGACTTTTCCTCTTCATTAAAAAACCAAAAATCTCCACGTAAAAGTCAGAGTGTATTAAGTCCAGGCAGACACTATTCCAAATTGCTCTCAATATATGTAAAACTCTGTAACTACAAAAACCAAGAAATATTTAAGAAGACAGATGAAGGGGAAAGTAAAATTGGTAAACAGCAAATCTACACATTAAAAAAAAAGTCTGCTCTATAATGAAGATAACATGATAGCAGGATTTCCTCTCTGCTCAATTAAATCACCTTTTAAGCAAAACCCATCTTTGTTACTTAGATGTTAAAGAGTTCTGATGTAAAATTTAAAATTACTAGTAAGTTGCATTTGTGCTCTGAACTGCACAAATATGCTTATATATTCTAGGAAGCTAATATCCAGCACAGGGTTTATTTTCAGAAATGCGTGTCACATGGATTAAACTTTGCAGTACACCCTGAATTCTTTTAATCCCCATTTGCTGACAGCAAGAGAGAAGGAAAAAAAAAACCAGACCCAAAACACTGCAACAGAACACATCTGTTACTTAAAGATTAGGTAAACGCCCTGAACAAGAGAGGCAATAGAGAAGTACAAATGACCACTATACTTCAATTTCTGTTATGAGCCAGCATTTAGGGAAGGTTCAAGTACAGTGGCAGATGCAATGCAAGATGAATTATAAATTCGTCTGCAAAATGCACAAAAGCCTACTGGCTATCCTTCTCCACCTTTCCAGTGTGCACACAAGAGGGTCACAATTCACATCCTTGCATCAACAAGATCCAGAAGAGCCACAAGAAATTATTTCCAGGTAACCATTCATCTTATCCACTACAGAAGAGGAAAAGACTATTATACAGCACTCATATCCTAAAGAGTCAAAGAAATAAAAATGGAATTGGAAACAAGGCCTCATAAGCTGATGTAAATAACAGTGTAATCCTTTAAGTTTAACTAAGAGTTTCAATAAGCAAGGGGCGTAGCAGAAAGAAGCAGACGTTCTGTAAAAATGAAGCATTGACAAAAGGAGAAAATTAAAGTTGTTGATGCTGCTTCTTTGTTGTCTACAGAGAAGGATGAATTGTAACCAATACTTAAGCCTTCCTAAGCAGGTAAATAATGAGCTAGGGTGAGAATAGGCTAATTAAAAACAAAATAGAAGCATTAAAAGTGGCAAAGCCTGACAAGTATTTCCCCTGGAAGTCATTAAAGAACTATTAAGATTAATAATCTTAAAATTTAAAAACACCACATTTGTGTAGATCAGAGAAGTTCTAACTAGACATGGTAAAAAGCAGTACTCCATACTTAAAGAAAGAGGATGTAAGAAAATACATACCATAATATACAATTTATTTGTACCTCAAAAGGTAAAAGAAATAGCAAAAAACCCCCACCATGATCAACCAAGTTGTTATCAAACTTATTCTTTTGCTAGTGAAATCAGCTAAGAGGATAAGAAAAAGCATTGTCTGTGGTTTGCTTAGTATAGCTTTTACCACTGTTTCATAGAGCATCCATATAAGAAAGCTGAAGAAATACAATCATCATAAAATAGGATTACCATCAGTATTTTATAAGTCACACGAACATTAGTTCTCAACACATCACAAGGCATTCTGGGTGGAAATGAAGATGATTGTTCTGGACCCTATTCAGTGTTTTCAACAAGGATTTGTGAGATGTAAAAGAAAGTTCATTCATTAATGGCACCAAGCCATAAGTAGTTCAAAACACTTCAGAGAACTTGATCCTATTAAAATGATCATGAAAAATTACAGAGGGGGGGCCAAAAATAGCAATATGAAATTCATAGCTCTGAAATTCAAGAAATCACATCTACAAATACAGACTGGGAAATAACTAAAAGAAAAATCTGAATAGTAATACGATTAAAATAAAGACTCAATGTATTGCAAATGGCAAATTTACCTCAAGAGACATTATTACTTTAAATGTGATGAAAGAGGGAAAAATTTTGTCATTAATGATACCTCAGCTAGAGGCAAACTTCTGTCCAGTTTAGGATACCACATTACAAAAAATTATAAAGTAGAGAAGCCAAAGAAGAAAGAATACTAGTAAAAGTAGAAGGAACTTAATTGCTTTATTCTAAAGAAACAAATAATTCCTTCAACAGAACAACATTTTTTAATAACAGACACAAAGAAACCAGCCTCAAATAAAAGAAGGAATCACCTTTACTTGCAACAGACTGTCACGGGGAGATCAAAATTTTCAAAGACTCCACAAAAATCAAATATTAAAATTTATGCCTACCACAGGTACCTAGGATGAAAACAGGAACACTTGCTGTATTTGTCTCATTAATTGCTGAAATTTCCCAGCCTACATTTTTATCAGTCACCTCAAGCTAAAAGCCACGACTCCATCCCTTGCTTAAGCTACTAACTTACCAAGGCTTTCGCTGCTCCCCAAGCAGGCTAAGAAAAATATGCAGAAGTCAAAGTAATTATTATAGTTGCCATAAAACATTCTGCATAAATCCATTGGTACACAACAAATATGCATAGATTAGCATTATAAGTAGTTTATATTTGATTTGAAGGCAACTTTTACTTGAACAGTTACATTAGTTTCCACACTGTGTCTTACCCATCATTTATAAAATTGTCTAAGGTGCACTTGCAGCATGGAGAAAAAATAAAAATACAAGTTATGAAATGGGAAAACAAAACACAACTCACAATAAATGAATAAATAAATATGACCACAAATAACATGTATGCATTTTCCTCAACTCTGAAGCAAGTTAGGTAGTTCAAATACATCTAAAGATGAAAGAAAAACAACAACAAAAGAATATTTTTATAAGTACACTGAAGAAATTAAAGATACTAAAACTAAACTAGACATACAGTAGGAAGAAAACAAGAAAAAAGTACAAAGTCTAACAAGAAAGAAAGAGAGTGAAATAAATGTTCTGACACAGTATATTACTTCACTTTTCATCCTAATCACAAGGAAAATTAACTACATACTTATTTCTTACATTCAGAACTGACCTTAGATGTACAGTGTATACGGGGTTCTCCTTCAGGTTTTAATCCAATTATCTAAAGGAGAGAAAGTTAGAATATTTATTGACTTTCTTCCCCTTTCCAGTTTTACAGACTGAATTTGAACTTTACCCCCACTTAATATGACAGAGTTCATACAGGGAGCAATCTATCTAGGGTCATTTTTATATGAAGCACAATTTTAGACTAGGACTAAGATTTAAAGCACTGTTAAGTTAAAGCTCAAATAGTTACAGCGGCCACAGAAAGGACTATTTTCTTACTTCACATTCAGCATGTAACATGAACTGCTAACTGGTTTAGGCCATTAAAGTAATGTATACCATCACTGAAAAGTCAAATACTTACTCACTCAGTAAGGTTTTCATCACCTTACATAGTTTAGGAGTTACAGAATGCATTACATTCTAATTACATTTCTAGAAAACAGACATGAAGTAAAACACACTTTACCTGCACAGTGGTTTAGAATCTATTACATAGAACAGTAAGAAAAAACAAAACGCACTGTACTCCTTCAAACAAGGTTTTCAGATATTTTGATGCAAGTAATCAAAGCCAAGACTTGTAAGTATTAGAATGCTCAAGAAGCTCACTTCATTTTACTCTCCAAAACACATCAATTGCTAGACATTTCGGTAATTTACACTATCCCAGAAATGCAAATATCTTCAGAAGCAAACTGAACATGTATTTCAGTCCTTTTCTACAGTCATTTTTCATACAGTGGTAGTCAGGAGCACTTACACTAAGAATTAAAAAATAAGTAGGCACTTACTCTGTTCATTTTCACAAGCACACAGGGAGTTCCTTTAGAATAGCCAAAGGTCTTATCTTCCTTCCCAGAGCACTGTCCAAGCTCAGAGAGGTTAAATCGACATGCCTTTTTAACAGCAACATCATTCTGATCAAAAATCCTTCCTGGCGTACAGTTTATGTTTTGGGATTGCTTTGAATCATCATATGCTATGAAAGAGAAATAGCTTGTAAACCAACGGTATAAAGCATACAAGTAGCCAAAATCTGCAGAAGGCTATATAAACATCTAATTTATAGTTGTTACTTGTCTAGGTGTTTTCTCAAAGGACTATTTTCAGAGCACTATGTCTCTTATATCCATCCTAACAAACATTTTTCAAAGCCTATCAAGAACTGGCACTGTATTTGAATGAAAGAAATAGTATTACGAAAGAAATAACACTATCCTGCTTTTTGAATCGTATCAATAATCACAGCTTCATTATTTTCTGTATATAAACTAATTATGTATTCTAAACTAATAATGTATTTAAACATAAACAATCAAGTTTTTACCTGGAAACTAAACCAGTTTTCCCTTTGCACATGTTTCTTTTATAAACACACAGAAAAACTTCAATTATTTCAATGACTAATATTAAATTGCATCTACATTTACTTCAAGTAGTAGAACTGATGTTATACTAATATCCCAAATTGTTTCTCAGTTTCTTGTGTTTCACAAGTACACAGATCACATTGTCACAAATACTTATCTATTCACATTTAACATGTTTTGTGGTTTTGTTCCCCTCCCTTACACCCCGGCCCCAGCTAAGCATAAACAAAGTAAAATGGAAAAAGGGAAAGTTCACCCTCAATGCGAGAGTCCAAAACCTACTGAACTGCGGGAGAGACAGATTAATCATGAAATGTAGCATTCCTCCCAGGAACACTTGGCAGAGGTCTGAAACAAAAGCCTACTCATAGAAGCTTCTGGTAGGCACCAAAACTACAAATTCAGATAGATTCAAGTATAGCTTGTGTAGCTAACAAAGCAACTCATGCACACAGGTGAAATTTTACAGCACCTCCTCAATTCTGATTTACAACTTTTCGGGGGTTAAACTGACTAATATTTTAAATTGATTTCTGTATAACGAGATTAAGCATACATACAGGCACATATATAAATAATGTATGACTTAAACTAGTGATTTTGACATCCTTCAGGCTTGCCCTGTGTTACCTTTTCTCCATGTTCCAAATTCAATGTTTTAATATTTCTGCCCGTAAATACTGTGTATTAGAGTGAAAATGAATAAATTGCAATTAATTTAATCTTTGTGTGCCTCATTTTTTGAACAGGCAAACACTCAAGTTCTTAAGACTTAAGGATTCTCGCTCAGTTACCAAGCCATTTAGATGATGACTGATCAGCTAAGTCCTGATAAACTTTGCCTCCAAATACATGACCTATGTAATTTTACACACTATTCTTTTGGCATATGTACTTTCTACATCTTGTAGTATTTAAACAACCATGTCACCAAAACACTGGACAAGGACCCAAAACTCCCCATCATGTATTCCACTATTCCTCATGCTTAGGCTCCCTGTCAGATACAGATACAGATACTTACTGTTTTCTATAAAGCACATACTTTAATAACACACGTCTCTAGAGTAAGCCTGAACTTGCATCAGTCTTCATTAGCAATTGGTAACTACAAGCAAAAAAGGAAACTAATGGTCTCAACATTAAGACTCCTGAATTACCTGGGCAGTTGTAAATAACTTACTTACATTCAAGGAATTTTCTAAGTGTAGAAACATATTCTGCATATGACTGGGCATCACTCTTGTTAAAGTAAAATTCCAATGCAGTGTCTGGCTTTGGTGAAATCATAAGTCCTTAAAAAGAAAAAGCACAAGTAAAGAACTAAAAAACTTCTCTTCCCTGCACCACTCTAACTTACTCAAAAATCATATCCACAAATTGGAAAATACCTATCTGTAAAGAAACATCAATGTTACCCCTATATTCTATGATTCCACAGTACTAGAAGGTAGTTTGTGTTTGAAGCCAGTTATCAAAATCAACATTACATGAATTAATACTTAAATTCAATCCAATGTATAACTGCAACTCATAAACCAAACCCAACTGATTAGGGATAGCAAAATCAGCAACTTCATCACTTTCAATCAAAGAATTTTACTGATTCACTTCCCACTTTCCATATTCAGCAAATTAAACTTAAAAAATAATCGAAAAAAATACCCAAAACCACAACCAGAAAACTTCCAGTTAACACTATGCTTCAAAGCTTTAGGCAACATAGAGTGAAGCTATGATTGTATTACGCTCACAGAAACCCACAAGAAACAAAGTATTTTTAAAAACTTTATAATGCCTAAGGACGGCTTGAAAGATTTCCCAATCAAGGTAGACAAGCCAAGTTAGTTGTTAGTCCTTTCCTCCTTCTCCTCAAGGAGAAAGTTTAGATGTTATCTGTTTCAGGGAGAATACAAGAAACTTTATGAAACCACCGCACGCGTATCTCTTGAAAGGGGTACGCCTTAGTCAGGCTGTGGTAACTCGGAACGCTCTTGAGCTGCCTCCCAGGCTGCCAGCACCGGACACTGCAGCAGCCAGGATTCCCCCACCTGCTGCAGCAGAGCCCTATGGCTGGCTTCATTCAGCCGCTGGCTGAGGGTACGGGAACAGGAACAATCTACAACCAGGGAGCCAGGACTGGCAGGAGAAACAGGGACACAGATTACCAAATGCCGAAGTCCAGCTTTGTGTTGAAGGGTGAAAAAGGCAGACACTGACATGGAGTTCAGGCCCTTGATAGAGGTGAACTGTTCTTCTGCCCAGGATATGGGTAAAGAAAGGTACAGATTAAATCTTAGGGATTTTTTTTGTAGCAGGTGAAAGCAAAAGGCACACTCTTTGCTAATACATACAGCCCTGTACCATCAGGAGTTGTCACTAACATGGATACCTAATGCTACTATTACTCATCACAGCTTCAGTAGCAAATGAAATAGCACTACACCACCAGACATTGCAGAAGAGATTAAATCTGTTCAAAAAGGGTGTATGATTATTGCTTTACTCACACTACCTTAAGGTAACTCTTATTTAATATAAATAATTAGAATGGATAAAAACCCAGCAGTTGTGATCAAAAGATGAGTGTCCATGCATCTGTCTCTTCAAGTATAGCTGAGAACTGACATTGCAGTTCCATAAAAGAAAACAAACAAAACAAACCAAACCCCAACCTATTTTTTACCAGATTAGTTTTCTTCTAAGTTAGAATATTAAAATAGTTTGGATCAACATCAAATTTGGCATAAGGGAAGAAGCTGCAACTACAGCAGTAACTAATTGTATTAGCTTAGGATGCCATATAGTTTCCTAACCTGTGGCAAGCCCAATTAAAACTAGATTCCCAAATGAATAAAGTTTCAGGCAGAAAAGAAAACTCATCTCCCCAAATTAAAAAATAAAAATAAAATCAGGCCTTCTTTATACAAAACAAACATTTAAGAAGATAAGACTACAGTGGGAAGATAAAGTCAAATAAGTTGTCTTAATGTTGGATTGTTAATACATTACTTACTGTAGTTAATCAATTACAGTAAGCTATTGGAAAGCATATAGAAAGTGCAATTAAGCCACCCAGGTCTGTTAAGGGTTCATCTACAGAAATGACCAAGCTTCTCATCCAAAGGCAGAAATTATTACAAATACTTTAAACTGGGAACGAATAAATATATATATATTAGAAATTTATCATAGAAAAACATCTTTTAGATTCTAAAAAAATCCAACAGATCTAATTTAATGTTTTTTTACTCTACCTTTGTTGTAGGATTTCCAATAAATCACAAATTCTCCTTTCTGCATTAGCAGCAGTTAAATTATTTCCAGGCAAGCCACAACTAAACGCCTTCCTGACTGCCAGTCCATATAAAATTACAAATACCATTTTTGACTGCAAATTACTTTGCACCATTACAGTCATCTTCTGGCCTCCACACTGAACTGGGATTCAGCAAAACACAAGATAATGAGTAACAGGGCTGAAAAATTGCTGAAGGGGTTTTACACAGTAAGGGGGTTTGGGGGAGAAGAGATTGTTATTATCTATAGAATAATACTGCAAATGAAGGACTTAGATGCTGTTTTTCAAAGTGAATATGACAAAGTAACTGCGTCATCAATGAATGAAACAATAATTTGAAGAGATTTATTGCTTCAGGGGAACTTCAAAAACATCCTAAGAGGAAAGGACTGCTCCAATTCCAGTGGATCACAGTCTGCCTAGAGACTATGGTATAAATTCTACAGAAAAAGCTACTTGAAGGACTGATGCATAGACTGTGAGAGATGCAGGATTCGGGCTCCTCTAAAGGAACAGAATTAGCAGCCTCAACATAGGATCACATCTAGGATTGTAACAGAGATTACATTATTCTACAATTCCAAGAGGGATCTTAAAAAAAAAAAGGGTTTTAAATCATTTGGATTTGATTGATACTATTATATCCCAGTGTACAATGCAAGTCAAGTATCAATTATAAAATAAATCAACTGTGAGATTTCTGAGTATGTTTAACACAAGAGTTTGACCTACGCCATCCAGGTTTTGTGTGTAGAATTTTTTTTATACTTTAAAACTTTACAGCCAGGAACATGACATGTTTCACTGCAAGTGAAAAATGACAGAGTTAAAGAGAAACATTAAAACAGAAATAACCAATTTTATTAACTTTTATGTATGAGTAATTAAAGACATTGTTAATAAAAAAATTTAAGTCAGAATGTTACAGGAATTCTTAAATTAAAAACTATTGTGGCATACATACTTTTTTTAAACAAATATCCCTTATGACTTATTTCAAAACAAAGGAAAATTAATGAATACCCTGAACTGCAAGAGGCACAAGAGAAAAAGATGTCACAAGTCCAGTATTACGTCACAGCTACCCACAGCTCCATCTACTACCAAGGTTCTGACTACTAGAAAGGAAATGGGGAGAAATGGTCAACTAAGCCACCTTCTTTTTTATTTTGTTCCTTTCCTTTTATTTTTTTAAACTATTCTTTCCAGCATGTAGCCCATTCTTAGCTTGAAAAAACAGCACAAATTCTCAATAAACCCTTGAGAAGGGGACACTTGTTAGAGAAGGCCTGAACACTACGTCAAAACAAATTGTGTTCAGAATCCAGAGACATTTATCAATGTTCAAAAAAAGGAAAAAGTATTTTAAAAAAGAATGTCGTCTAACTTCCACCAAAATATTAATATTGTAGATCTATTTAGTTTTGTCGTGTTTTAAACATAAATTTGGTCCGTATGCCAAGTTATAAAACTTGAGGTATCTGGTAAAGTTTTCAGGTGCACCCAATCATTTAAGTTACATATACAACTCAAATACTTACACATTCGCCAGAAACAGTAACTAGAAAACATCTCTTTGGTGTATTTAAAGTATGAAAGATTTAGAAGATGCTTTTGCAGAGTGAAAATCCTTAATTTTTTTCCAATATGGAGATACACTAAAATAAAGCCTATGATGACAGATGTTTGTGATATATTTAAACCACTCTTCAAAAAAAAAAAAAGTAAAAAAGGAAGGGGAAAAAAAAAAGACAAAAAGACAACTACCTTATTATTAATTTTTATTTGTGCAGGGTTTGGGTTTTTTTCTGTCACATACAGCTCCTTGAACCAGACAACAGTGGGACTGGATAGGCATGTACACAAAGGAAGCAGTAGTTCCAGGAAGCAAGACACCATTTTTAGTGGCAGCTACATGTTACATGGACTCAGCTTCATCATAAAATGGGACCCTCTCTCTTCAGTGGACCCCTACATGTCGGTTGAAAGCTATCTAATACTATGATGAGAACTCTGGAAATGCCTTCGTATCATAGTCCTTTATGTGCTCTTGAGCAACTACCCCCAAAGTACAGCCTGTCTGTACTTTCTTCAAAGCATCAAATGCTCACCACAGGTGGCCTTCCATCTGACCCAAGAGAACTGGTTCATAGTATCTTTAAAGCAATTTGATTAAATGATAATCCCACTTCTACAACAGCATGTTGTGTGGGTGTGCAGGTAAAATTGCGATCTACATACATGAAAACTTCAACTGAAAATAACTTAGAGAAAAAAAACAGCAAAAGTTAGCACATACACACAAAAAGCTACTGACTGAATTTATGCTATAAATGTACTCACACCAAGTTTTACCTTTGAAACCTGTAAGTAATTGAATAATAATCACAGTTTCACATAGGCACTTCAAACAAACTCTCAAATGAAACGTAGCTGTTAAACCAGACAGAGGTTTATGGAAAAATAAACACACTGTTACCTGGACTAGAAATCCGGTCACGATATTTTGGTATATCACTGCTCAGTGTCTGAAGCATAACCCACATTGTGAATGTGAAGAGTGCTGCTAGGAAGCCGTAAAATACCAGATAGAATAGTAAGATCAAACCTGTAAAGAAAAAGCTAAAATTACTATTTTTGTTTCAACTAATTCCACCACCTATTTTGAAAATCGAAATGGGAAATAAGCAGTACAATGTTTGGTTCTGGTTCTGCCCACCCCCCCCCACCCCATCCCTTGCCACTCCTTATTGTAGTTCTAAATCAATATGCCTCTAGCATACATATGTATTGCACAGTGCAGAATAATGCATGCAAAAACATTTTCTTCATACTCTGTGTCTCTTAAAATTTAGAGGGCATTTTGGCATCTCTATTTTTAAGACATTAAAGATTAAGACATTAAGGCATTAAAAAACACTCTTTGGGCTACATAGGAAAGCTGGCAAAGATGACTAAGCAGTTCATTAGGAAAAAAAAATAGTTTCACTTAAAGGAGTTACACTTTGGTATCTGGAAAGGAAGGGGTCATAGGGATGACAAAAGAACTGAGTGAAAAGATAAAATTATTACACCAGATCCAGAACAGGTAGGAAGCGATTGGTTCTTTAATAACATAGTTGATATTTGAGAGAACTCCACACAGAGCATCCATTCACACATACGTCCTGTTACAAGAGACTTCTCAAGGTGAAAATGCTTTCTGCTGCGTATTTCTGAAAACAAACCAAGCCTCCTATTGAGACTTATCAAAAGTCCTGCCTAACACATCTTCCTGCTTTACCAATCTGTCCTCCGAGCTGGATGACAGGGGTGGGGAACAGAATAATCCCCCCATTATCCAGGAGGAAGCAGTTAGCGACCTGCTGCTCCACCTAGACATGAACAAGTCTATGGGGCCGGATGGGATCCACTCAAGGATGCTGAAGGAGCTGGCGGATGAGCTCACCAAGCCACT